GTCCCCAACACGCAGCTTCTCCAGGAGAAAGGCAAAGTGACACCTGTCCCCAAACACAAACATAAAGGCCATGAGCAGGGTGCCAGGACTCTGCCTGGATCCCACCCCTCGGAGGAGGAGGAAGGGAGGGGCGTGGTAAGGAAGCCCCCTCCCACCTGGAGCGCGGCAAGACGCTGCTCACCGCCAGCTGGACATGAGGCCCATCGCCCTGCAGCACCGGCAACTGAAACCGCGACCGTCTCCGTCACTCAGACAAGGGCAGCTGGGCTGGACACTCAACACGGACCCAGTGACAGACTGGGCTGCCCGGTCCAGGTCTGCGAGGAGACAGGACGCCCCGGGCTGAGGCCTCAGGTGCTCATGGGCCTCGCCAAGCAGCAGGCCCCGCCTCCAAGGCGCTGAGCAGCCTCAAGAGGCACAGAGCTCTGCAGAAACCAGACCCTGGTCACCCAGGACACCCTGATGAGGAGGCCCCTTGCAGGCAGCTGGCCTCCGTCCAAGGCCTCCGTGTGGCCCCACGTTTCGCCTCCAAGGTGAAGTAAACCCAGGGCCACTGAGCTCTCGGGAAACCAGGGCACACCCAGAGCAGGCCAAGCACACGGTCGCCCTGATTCCAAAGCCACCCCCCAGCACGGCGGGCGCAGGGGCTGCAGGCCCAGGAGGTCACTGCTTCCCTCCCGCCAGCAGCTCGGCAGGTTTCCAAGTCAGACGAGAACCACACACACAGGCCTGCGCGCCCGGAGAAATGGGCCCAAGGCGTAGACACCCCGGGGACTGGATGACTGCATGACAGAGGGACAGGGGCCCTCTGACACCCAGAGCTCCCGATCTCCCCTCTCAAGCCTCAGAGCAACCCATGTTCAAGGAAAACAGGGCACAGTCTTCCAAAAAGTGACCCAGGGCACGTGCACGACAAGCTAAGGGTGCATAAGGGGACTCTATTTCTGTCTTCAGGTCTGRGGACGTCTGTCTGGGGGTTGGGCAGGAGTCTGGGCCAAGTTAACAGGACACGGGCCCCTGAGCCCGCTAACTCCTGTCGTGGGTGCTGGACCCACTGCCCACGCTCAGCACACCCCTGACTGCCTGGGCACACGGCTCCCGGAGCACTCCAGGGACCCTGCCTCCAGGACCTGAGGGTGTCCCCGGGACCCATCAGAAGCGGGGCCATTCCCTAGAAAGAGGAAGCTGTGGGAGGGCGAGGGGCAGAGCACAGGCCTTGCCCCAGCACACCAAGGTCAACCACAAATCCTCCTGTCACCCATCAAACCCTGCCATCTGGTACATCTGCGGGTGTGAACACCAGAACCAGAACACAAATATTTTTACTTCCCCTCCCGGATTCACCATCTTGGTGTTTTCTGGAGCTACACGCACGTGCACACGCACACACACACACACACACACACACACACACACAGTGTGATGCTGGGATGAAGCTCAGCACCTTGTACGGGGCCGATGTTCTACCACTGAGCTACGCCCAGGCCTTCCTGCCCATTCTTCAAGAACTCAAAACCACGTTCATTTCCTTGATGACTCTCTAGGAGGTTTACATAACTACTGCAGGAGACTCCTAAAAACACCCTTCACATTTGTGTTCACCAAAATGGCTCTTTGTGTGCCTTTTTACATCCACCTCCGCCTGGCCTTCCCACCTCCGCCTTCCCCCAGAGGGGCTGCTGTCCCATATCTGGGTCTGTGCTCTCCAGCCAGTAAGTGGCCAGTGAGCCCTCGAAAGGAGGCTAGCTCCCCAGCAGCTCGGGAGGCTGAGGCAGGAGGATGGCGAGTTCAAAGCCAGCCTCAGCCAAAGTGAAGCGCTAAGCAACTCAGTGAGTCCCTGTCTCTAAATGAAATACAAAACGGGGCTGGGGCTGGGGCTCAGGGGTCGAGCAATCCTGAAGTCAATCTGCAGTACCCTCCCCCAAAAAAAGAGAAAAAAAACCCACATCACTCTGAGATGTGTTGAGTGTAAAATACACAGATTTTGAGGACTCAGTATTAAAAAGACGTGCAACAAAACTCCAAGTTTCTTATACTATGTGTGAACAATATTTGGGGGAACATTGAGTTGGACAAACACGTCATCCAAATCAGAGTTGCCTAAATCCTTCTGCTGTTTGAAGCTGCTCAGAAAACACGGTGGCTTCACTGTATTGCTGAGACCCAGCCACTCTGCAAAGCAAGATCCCTCCACCTCTGAAGGAACCGGGATCTTTGGTTCTCCTCCCTACCCTGCTGCTGAGGGGCCCAGACACTTGGCCTCTTCCCTCAAAATCCTGTCCCTCTTCTCTTTCTCGGATGGATGGCACTGGCTATTATGTGAGTCACAGCCRATTCATGGCTACCTGTGTCAACAACCACCAAAAAAAAAAAGAAAAAAAGATCCAGAAGTGTGCTTTCTGTTAAAAGGACAATCAACAGCAGGATACCACTCACTGTAAAGGGCCGGGCGTCCTTGAGAATCTCGCTGAAGTCCTGCTGACTTCCTCATTCTTGCATSACACAAGTTCCCAGTAACACAGCATATTCCCTCGAAACTGTTTTGGATTTCACTTCCCTGTGAACTGCAGTATTGGGGCTACAGGGGACAAAGCCGGCTTCCTGGGGAAGTGCATGCAAAACCCCAAAGACAAACAGACGCACCCAGAAAGGAGCCCTTAGAAATCCGCGATACATTGTTATGCCAACAAGGTACACCRCAGTCAGAATTAGAGGAGGTGCAATTTGGTCCTGGGGAAATCGGAGGAAAGGAGACTTGGGGAAGATAAGAGGGTCACAGGGTTAGGGCTCTCTTTCCAAACAACAGGAATGCAACCCTCTGATCAAAAGAGAGGACCTCCTAACGGTGCTGATCGGCCTCTGAGAACACATCCAGCTCAGCTGTCAAGAGACCCTGGTCCATAACTCCATAACCATCCCCCCACGAGCAATGCCACCCAAGTCACAYCCCTATGGCTCTAGGTGAATCTAGGATCAAAACCAGGCATCRAGCTAATTTGACAAGCTAACTTTAATGAGAGATCTCTCTCGGTTTGCATTAAAATTCACGAGCCTCTTAGAACAGGTCACCTGGACCCTTCACTAGGGGGATGAGGAATGTATCTGACAATTAAACTCCTTGRCCACTTGAGGAAGAAAATTCACATCTAGGAACTCTACTTAGGAATCCCAAACGCTTTCTGGAATGGAGTCGTTTCAAATCGAGCACCTACAAGACACTGCTTGTTCCAATTAGGAACCTCCGTGGGGATTTCTTCAACCCTTTTGAAATTCAGCAATTTACATCTGTGTCCATAAAATGAAGAGACTCGTTGGTGTGTCTTTAAAAAAAAAAAACCAGTCTCATTACCACTGAATACTCAGCCGTATGAACAGAGACAAAGGTCACATTCAAACATGAAGATGAGCTAATTATCACACAGATTTAGAAGCGAATCAATTCAGAATCTTTCTCTGCTAACTTCTGTGCTGGCTGGGAGACCTTGGGCAAGTACTTTTAGGTGTCTTATAAATTTGGAGATGGAATGTTCCCTGTTGGTCCCCAATGGCACCAATGTCCAGAGGCGGGGCTTTTGGAAGTGAGGGGATCCTGAGGGCTCTGATTTGTAATTTAATGGCACTTTTGGGAGGTGGTGGAAACTGTAAGGGGTGGGACGTGGCTGAAGGGTGTGGGTCCTCCAGGGTGTGCCCTTGGGGACTATATCTTTCTCCCCATCACTTCCTCGGCCTGCTTTCCAGTGGCCACAAGGTGAACAGGTCGGCTCCACCACGGTGTTCCTCCTCACCACAGGCCCCCGGGGTGCCCGGGGGAGACAGCCCACCACCGACTGAAACCGTGAGCCAGAACACACCTCTCTCCTCCTGGAAGGTTGTTTTTCTCGGTTGCCTTATCACAGGGACAGAGAGCTGACTTCACAGCTCTGCGAGCCTGGGACTTTGTTTTTGTTTTTAATTAGTCAAAGGCAAATACTTCCTCCTACCCAGCCGTGTTCTGAGATCAGCCATCAGCTATGCACACGGAGAGGAGAGGTCAGCCGTGGAAGGGCAGTGTGTGGGATGTTGACTCATCTGGAGGCCTGGTGTGGACGTGTGAGCGTGGGGACACTGAGCCTGGCTCCCTGTGTTGGTTCTGCTGAGGTTGGGGGTCGAGTTCCTGTCTGCACTTATCTACCTGGTGTTGTCTTTGAACTCTCCCTGGCTTCCTCCAGGCTGGCCAACTGTCCACGACCTGCACTGACCAGGGTACACCACCCAGGATCTGCTGGGCCTCAGATGCGCAGAGCGGCTCTGCTCACACTTGCAGGCGCCTGGGTTCCAATGCAGAGTCCCATGGCTGGGGCAGGTGTGGGCTGGGGCACCAGCCTCTGCACTTCCCGGGCAATGCCCCCGCTGCTGGCTGGCGAGGCTGGGCAGCCAGGCCACTGGGCAGGGCTTCCCCACCTSTGCACCACCCGGGGACACCTGGGGATGGAGCAGTCCTTGWCATGGCTTGCTTCCGAGCTGTCTTGTGCAATGGGCTGGAGTCCACTAGGTGCAGGTAACCCCACCCCCCTGCTCCAGCTGGGACGTTCAAAAATGCCTCGGGTGGTGACCAGGTCCCCAGGGGGACGAGGCCACCGGGGTGAGAGGCCACACCTCGTGGGGTGCGACCATCAAGGTGACCCTCCGCGCCCCCTTTTGCAGATGGGGACGCTGGGGCTGGGCGCGGGCGGGTGGCGGGACGGCCAGGCGGCCGCGGAGCCGCACACCGGCCGGGGGTCCCCCGGGACGGCGCCCCACGTGCTCGGGCCCCGCCGGAAGCGGGCGCTGGGGCCGCGGAGACGCCTGGTCATGGGACCGCGGGCTCCGGCCGCCGCCCGACTTCGGGGACGGCCCGGGGCGGAGCGCGCGGAAGCCCGAGGGTCCCGGCCCGGACGCCGCCGCCGCCGCGCGGGTCCCCAGCCCTGAAACTCCCCGTCCCGCCCCGACTCGGCCGGCGGCCCCCGCCGGACGCTACCCACCCAGAAGCAGGCCGTCCATGTCAAAGATGAGGTGGGTGACGGGCCGCGGCGGGGACGCGGGCGCGGGCGCTGCCATCTCTGCCGGGGAGGGGGCGGGGAAGAGCGGCGCGCGCCCGGCGCCCCCGCGCAAGCGCCGCAGCCTCGCCGCGCATGCGCACTGCCTGCCTGCCTGCCTGCCTGCCTACCGCCCGTCGGCCGCGGGCCTCCGGCGCCCCCCCCACCCCCCCCCCGCGCACGCGCGCTCTCGGGCGGACTCGCGCGGCTCCGCGCACGCGCGCTGCGTGCCCGGGCCTCTGCAGCTTCAGCGGCCGCGGTCTCCAAGCACAAAAGGGGCGCGGGGAGAGGGTCAGGAGTTCACCCGTTTCCAGAAACTGGCTGAGCCCCGCAGCCTCAGGCCGCGCAGAGTCGAGTCCCTACGTAGAGGGGGGAGAGTCCGTGGTGGAACTTGGAAAGGGAGTCAGGGAGGAAGGAGGGAGCAGCAGGGGTCTGGGGATTGGGCAGGGGGCCGGCCGAGGTGCTCCGAGTGCCACCGCCGCCGCCCGCCACCGATTGCACACTAATGGCCTTGCCCACGGCCACCCGGAGCGGGTCTGTGCGAGCCCCCAGGAGCCGACCCCAGGTCACTGGGCCAGGCTCCCTTTCGGGCCCTGCAGGTCCTGGACCCGGGCCGCGGGGCGCATGCGCAGTGGAGCATCCGCATCTCTGAGCAGCACTAAGCAACTCAGCGAGACCCTGTCTCTAAATACAAGGTGCAAAGCAGGGCTGGGGTTGTGGCTTGGTGGTCAGGTGCCTCTGAGTTCAATCCCTGGTTCCAAAAAAAAAAAAAAAAAAATGCTGTATCTCCCCCAAAGGTATGTTGGATTCCTCAATCCCTGGTTCAAAAAAAAAAAAAAAAAAAAATGCTGGGTTTTCTACCATGTGCCAATACTCAGAGCAGTGTGCATTGTCCAGGGAGAAGCTGGACAGAATCCAGAGAGGAAAGGAGGATCCTGAAATGATAAAAAAAAAAAATGGTTAAAAAAAAAAACTGTGCTGCAGCTTTTGCTGTCTTAGGGCTTTTTGCCTGCCTTTTCGTCCCCTTTTCCAATGTTTCAGGGTGCAACCTGAAAAGCTTCTCCCACCCCCCCCCCAACTTCAGAAAGTACCTTCCGGTTACCATTTTTACATCTTCTTCTCATCCACTGAGGATGGGACCTTACAAGAAGCAGAAACGATAAAGTTTCCCTTTAAAACGTGAGGGTGTGTTTCTACTTCAGGGCACAGTCAGCGGACGCAGAAACCCCAGAATTCAGGTCATATATGATAGAGGTGAATGTGTGGGGGCATTTAGGCCTTAGCTCCCTCGTGTGTAAAATGAGGGTGCCARATGAGCAGAGGCAAGGGAATCCCTTGGTGCTAAGGAATAGTATATGGTCGACAAAATTACATTTTACAATCTCTAGCCGCTTTCCACCATGTAATGCTGTCGCAACTTCCCTCTGAGGATGCTGGGAAGGCAAGGGATTGTAACCCAAATGCCATCATTCATGGATTCTGCATGAATCTACTATGGCTATTATCACAAAGTCCTACAAATTAGGGGATCTGAACAACAGGAATGTGTTGTTAGTCTTATGAAAGCCCAGAGCCCTAACCCAAGGTGATTTCAGGGTTATTTCCTTCTAAGTGCTGTTGGCAAAGGGTCTCTTCCAGGTCTCTCTCCTTGGCTTCTGTGTGGTTGTTATTCCCTGTATCTTGTTGTATCCTATTCCCTCTGTGAGTCTCTGTGTCCAAATTTCTCCTTTTCTAAGAAYACCTGTCATATTGGGTTAAAGTCTACCCAAATGATCACATTGCAACACGATTATCTCTGTAAAGACTCTGCTGTCAAATAAGGTCACTTTGTCAGGTATTGGGGGTGAGGAATCCAACATACCTTTGGGGGAGATACAGCTCAATCCACAGCAAACTCACTGCAGAAATATTGGTGGGATGCCAGGTGCCGTGGTGCACACCTGTCATCCCACAGCTTGGGAGGCTGAGGCAGGAGGATCGTGAGTTCCAAGCCAGCCTCAGCAAAAGCAAGGCACTAAGCAACCCAGTGAGACCCTGTCTCTAAATAAAATACAAAATAGGGCTGGGGATATGGCTTGGTGGTCAGGTGCCCTTGAGTTCAATCCCTGGTACCAAAATAAAATAAAAAAATGCTGGGTTTACTACCAATACRCAATAGCTGGAGTCTTTAGAGTTCTTCTCAATTTCCTTCCATTCTCTGGAATGGTAAAAAAAAAAAATGGATAATTCAGATGAGAAAGTTGTTTTTCTTTGTTTTGGTCACATCATGACATTCTTGTTTGTTAGTCTTTTTTTTTTTTTAAGTTTGTTTTAAAAACAAAAATTTTGAGATACTTGGGAGGTCACGCTTGCTCGATTCCGTGTGCTGCAGCTCAGCTCGGGGCAGGGATGGCGGGAGGCGATTTCTGTGAACCGCAGTTGTGGTGGCGGCAGAGCCTCTTGTGAACTGCAGAGGAGAACATCACAGAATCGCGTGGCTCTCCTCTTTATCGTTCCCCAGACGTGAAGACGCGGTGCCTGTCCTTGTTTTTTGAGGAGTGTATCTTTCTGTGCATCTTTCTACTCTCAGGAGCTAGCACACTGTTGTTTTAAAGGCTCCTTTTCCTCATTCTTCTGAAACATCCCTTGCCTGCATAAGATGGAAGGCAGCTCTTGAAAATGGAATCCACCGCAGGGTGCAGTGGTTTATGCCTGCCATCCCAGCCGCTCTGGAGGCTGAGGCAGGAGAATGACAAGTGGGAGGCCAGCCTCAGCAACTTGGCAAGGCCCTGAGCAACTCAATAAGAGCCTGTCTCTAAATATCACATAAAAAGAGCTGGGGATGTAACTCAGTGGTTAAGTGCCCCCCCACACCATAAAAAAATTCAAATAATCCAGTATGATGATGAATGCTTCTCTCTCAAAAGCTCRATTGGGGTGATAGGTCTCGTGCACATATACTTTAGCTCCTTTATGACTCTCAGCCAAACATGGACGGCTCTTAGGCAGAGGTAGGAATCGTTTGCTTCTGTGAATTACAGTTTATGTTGGCACAAATTCTGTTTTCCTCATGGGACAAGGGCTTGCTTTTCCTAATCGCTTTAAGATGCAACAGATAAGATCCAGGAAGCCACAGTCAAAGCACAGGAAATGCTGTCAGAACAGGGCTGGGGTTGCAGCTCGGTTGGTAGAGAGCTTGCCTCCTCRCAGGCACAAGGCCCTGGGTTCAATCCCCAGCTCCAAAAAAAAAGTCCCCGATGGAACAGAGATGCGCCATCTTTTGTCACACTCTCTATAAACTTACGGATGCCACTTATTCCTTGGTGTATATCTTTGAACGTACATCACATGCTTGGTAGAGTCTTAGTTTACTTCTGYGTCCTGGCTTCGAAGTCTGTGGGTGCCTGTTATCTGTTGTATTTGGACAGCTGCTAAGTGATCCTTGGATGCCCTCCTGGCCTGAAGTTCACCTGGGAGGAGCCAGTGTTATGCAGGAGGAAACTCCTCTCCGCAGGGTGCTGGACCGTTCCCGCGCTGGGAGCCCCAGGTCCCCATCAGCCCCAGGATCACCAGGGGGAACACAAGACCCTCCCCAGGGWGCTGGGTGGAGAAGCTGGGCGGTTCGGGAGGTTGGATGCATTCGGTACATGGGGCCTCACCAAGAGTTTCACCTTAGGGACGGGTTTATCGGGATGGGATCCAGCTGCAAGTTGGCAAAGGTCTGCATCTGCCTGGCGCCTTGGAGAGGGAGGTGGTGAGCTCCCSGGGACCAGCAAGCTGTCCTTTATCTGCAGAGAAGTTGATCCGTCCAGCACGGGAGGGCTCCTTTTCTGGGTAGGAAGGTGGCGCCCGGGTGACAGAAGGAGTTGGGGATTTACGGCTTACAAGGAGGGTGCATCAGTCAGTCACTGGAGACTGCGGACATGCCATTGGGACAGTCGGGTTGAGCCAGGTGACTYTTAGCTCAGGAAAGCAGTTGGGAAGACTTTGAAACTTCTTGTCCCTGTGAAAAACTCAGAACTGGGTGTTCACTGCTTATCTCTGGGACCCGCTGTTTCCTAGAAGTCTCCTGTTTGCTTTCCTCCCCCTCCAGGACACCTCTGCAATGGGCAAGGGTCAAAGGCCACGGTCCACCGGGGTGGGTACGGGGGTCAGTATCGGGGTAGGGAGGTCAGTATAGGCTGGGSATCTGCCTTGTAGAAATAGACTTTTCTATTCTACCTCTGACCCTTTGTATTCTATGGCCCGGTGCTGAGGGAGCCTCAATACTGCAACCAGAGACGCTGCATTCCAACTCCCGGGGAGTCTCCTGGACTGGGAGGATTTTGCATCCSAAGGGCTCAGGAGGAGCTCAGATCACTACCTGGGCTGGGGAGCTCCTCTCTGCCTCCCCTTTAGGCCCTGGCTCCCCGATTCCCTCTCCCTGTGTGAGTGCCACGTGCAACTCGTGCCTTGCAAAATTGCTTCCGATTAAACCTGGCTTGGAGTCTGTGTTTGCATCTAGAGTTGCACAGTGAGTATTCCAAAGGGAACGGAATTTTCCAGATTATTCTGTTGTGGCGGCACGCACGGATGTGTCGCAACGGATTCCACTATCACGTGTGATTATGATGCAATCGTGAATTTTTTTTTTTTTATAAAAAGAAATATTCTAAACGGCATGTGCTGAGAGCCCAAGATGAAAGAACCATTAGTTGCTCAAGGGAAAAAAATGGTCTCCTTATTTCAGAAATTGCCTAGAAGTAGCCACAAGCTCTCAAGTGGCTAGGGGTAACCTGTGATCCCTGGGACTCTGGAGGCTGAGGCAGGAGGATTGCAAGTTGGAGGCCAGCCTCAGCAACTTCGTGGAGGCCCTAAGCAACTAACACTTAGGCTTCCTTTTGGTTTTCAAATCCCGTCTCCCCCCCACCAGATATCTGGAAGCCATCAATTTCTAAGAACTTGGGATGTGGGCAAGGAACAGGAACATCAAACACACGGAAATCACAGAGTAAATTCACAGAGTAAAATCCACAGATTCACAATATTTTGAAGGCCCTCAGATAGTTGAAATTTGGAGAATATTAAGGGTAATGGGATGTGGGCGTGTATACGTGTGTATGTGGGCGTGTATACGYGTGTATGCGTAGACACAGTCACATGCACGTTTATTTTAGAAGTTCATAATCGATTGGTGTGGGGACGTCGAGAAACCTGAAGGGGCGTATGCCTTCACGGGTAATTTAGACACTTTGAATTACGTGCAAATACCGTGTTACGTGTTATATGAAATCTGTTATAGAATATATAAAAAGGAACGTGTCTGCTTTTAAGAAAATTAAGAAAAATATTGTGTGCAAATTCAATGTATTTAATTTATATATGGTGTGTATTTATAGATACTATATGTTAGTTATATATACATTATGTCATGCTAATTACACATAGATATTAAATAGATATGTATAAGTATATAAATCTATTTTATATATTAATGCACATTTATGTGGCATATATACCTTGTATATATTTCTATATACATTTGATATATATCATGTATTTATATATAAATATATACACCACAAACCAAGGATTGAACTCAAGGGCACTCCACCCCTGAGCCCCATCCCCAGCCCTATTTTGTATTTTATTTAGAGACAGGGTCTCCCTGAGTTGCTTAGGGCCTCGCTGTTGCTTTGAACTTGCGATCCTCCTGCCTCAGCCTCCCGAGCCGCTGGGATTACAGGTGTGCACCGCCCTGCCTGGCTCATAGCTTTTTATGTTTAATTTTGAGACAGGGTCTCACTCAGTTGCTTAGGGCCCTGCTAGTTGCTGAGGCTGGCCTCCAACTTACGATCCTCCTGCCTCAGCCTCCCRAGCTGTCAGAATCTCACCCAACATATCACTAGCCCAGGAATAAGATCCAGTCCAGCTTTTGGGGTACGGTTCTACTGAATGTCTGTCACTTTCACATCATTGTACACTTATAAAAAATAAAATAAAATAAGAAAACAATCCAAGCATCCCGAGTCAGGGKCCCCTTGCACAGAGACACACGTGTGTGGTTACATAAGAAATTCACAACCTTGCATCTAAGGTACTAAGGTACGTGCGTGCATGTATATATTTAAATTAATACTAATTGCATGGGTTGTATAATAGGTAAAGTTGTATAACAGGCGAAAGAAGTAGCAGGCTCTCACAGGTACAAAGCGTGCACTCTTGCTGCTTTGTGGGCACATTTCATTGGCCCTGTTTGTGGAGGGCCCTGGTATTCATGTATGGAGAACAGTGTTTAAGAAGCCTATATTTCAGCTCCATGTCCTGGGGCTATTTCAACGACTCTGGAAAACGGTAGAGGCCATCAATTTCCCGGGCTCCTTCCTCCCGGAGTCCGGAGTCCGACGGGGAAGGCTATTTAAAGAAAGGTAATTGACGAGGACTTAGTTTTTCTGCTTTAATAATAAAGCTGTAACCTCCAASGGCAGAAGGCAATGTATCAGGGGGAGAACCGTGATTGGGCCCSTGCAGAAGCCCAGGAACGGAACGATAATTAAAACTCACAGTAACCCCAAGCCACGGAGAGGACTCACAATTCTCCGACTTGCTTTTCTGACGGGCCCTCCGCCATGTCACTAGTAAGGGTGGAAGCCGGATTCCTGGAGGGAGGGGGTTTCCCTGGGGTCCCCCCACCCCACCCCGTGCCACCTTCTCACCTTCATTTCACTAGCGAAGGAGGGTCCCCGGGCCACGGACAGGACACCGAGAAGCTGTGTTAGCTTTCTGTTACTATAACAAATGCCCACACGGTGATCAACTTATAAAGAAAAAAGGTCCATTTGGGCTCCCGGTTTCGGAGCTTTGGATCTGATCGTGCGTTTCTGGGGGCACCAAGGGAACAGAGCCTCACGGCTGTCTGACTTGGTACCGGTGAAGGTCGGAATGAGCCAGCATAGASTGCATTTCCAGCACGTGTCCAACAAGGCATGGTCAGAGGGCCTCCCAGAGCCGCTGGGAACCAGTGAGGAGGRAGGTCTGCCTTAGGATAGACCTTCCTTTCACAGAAACTCTTGGGAGGTGGACTATGGCAGCCCCCATCTGGGATCCCAGCAACCGTAGAGGCTGAGGCAGGAGGATCCCAAGTTTGAGGCCAGCCTGGGCAACCTAGGGAGACCGTTGTCTSCAAATAAATAAAAAAAGAGCTAGGGGTTGGCTCGGTGCTTGCTTCGTGAGGCCACCGCTTCAATGCCTATTCCCAAAAGGAAAACAAAAATAGTCATAATAAAAGCGTCCTTGGGAGGAGGAAGCAGGGTGGGCCTCCAACAGGAGAGGAGAGAGAGGAGAATCCTGGACCATGCTGGCGGCTGGGGAGGCCGAGGCAGGAGGATGGCCAGTTCCAAGCCAGCCTCCGCCAAAGCGAGGCCCTGAGCCGCTCAGGGAGACCCTGTCTCTCAATCAAATGCAAAACAGGGGCTGGGGACGGGGCTCAGGGGTCGAGAGACCCTGAGGTCAATCCCTGGTACCAAAAAAAAAATTTTAAAAGAATGGAAATAGGTCATCGCCAGCCGCGTGACGTTGGTCATATGCAGGCCCAGTGCCAGCGGCAGTCAGCGTCCTTGCAAGTGAGCCCTGTTCGGTTGCCGGAAGCAGAGAGAGGAAAACAGAGGCCGAGTTGAGTCCAGTCCCTCTTTGTCTTCTCCATTTCCTAAATGCAAGGGGGAGTGGGGGGTAACGTGAAGGGAGACAAGTCCTGCGGGTCATGCTGTGAGGTGACGGTTCTGCAGAGCGGTGGGCCTGGAGGCTCCCTGGGGATGACGTCAGCGCGGCCAGGGCACCTCCCTGCTCTGCACCCACGGCCACTGCCTCGCCTGGGTGTGTCCACAAGAGAATGAATTCCTCGGGGCTCTTTGGACTGGGTCCCGCCGGGGAACTCTCTGAGGTGCCTCCGAGACTCTGAGCAGATCCTCGGGAGCCCGGCCCTGGCTGCAGCCACCGCGATGCATCTGCACAGAGGACAAGCAGGGGCCCTGTGTCCASCCCTCGTCCTTGCAAGAAATGCAAAGTGCAGCGTGTTCAGGAGACCCTCTTGGGGGACCTGGTGTGTGTCCCCACTTCCCCCRAGGTCCCCAGAGCCCGTGGGTGAATCCCGGTGGCAGGGAAGGACTCCCCCCAGGGGACCGCGGGTCAGGAAGCGCACCTTATCTCTGACTGACATCTGAGGCACGTGGGGCGAGAGGCCAGGCAGGGACACGCAGGCAGCCACATAWCTTCTCCATGATGGATCGATGGGTCCGTGACCCGGCGATGACTTTGGCACCCGGGATGGCCAGATAAAACGGCCAGGCTGGTCCAGTGGACACTCACACACRCGGCGGGAGCTCCTGGCCGGGCGCTGTCCCCGGCGATAATGTGACAACCTGCCCCGGGGATCCTGGGAGCGCAGGTCCAGAACTCACTGGGGAGCAGCTGTATCTGAAGCCAGGCGTCGTCCGCGGGTGAGTGGGATCGCTGTCACCATCGGTGGCCTCTGTGCCAGGGAGATACTGAGATAGGACAGAGAAAAAAATCAGGGCGTCTGGGCTGCTTACCTCCCTGTGCTGCCTCCAAAGAAGCCTCCGGGCTTTGATTTCTTTGGCTCGTGTATTTGTGTTCCAGCTTATATAAAGGAAAACACAAGTTGATGAACCTGATGGATCTAGCCTTAGGGCCTCAGCTTCCACACGGGATACAACGTATATAAATGTGTGTCATGCAACACGGATGTTACTCTAAGATGGTCACTGGTTGCTATTTGGGTAGGAAAAAAAAAAARGATTGTGGATGGGAATTCATAGTGCTTGTGCTTCTTTTTTATTTTTTCTTTCCACTTTGTAAGTTTTTCTTGAATTTTAAAGATGTCAGCGGGGTGCGGTGGCACACGCCTGGCATCCCATTGGCTCGGGAGGCTGAGGCAGGAGGATCGGGAGGTCAAAGCCAGCCTCCGCCAAAGCGAGGCCCTGAGCCACTCAGGGAGACCCCGTCTCTCAATAAAATACAAAATAGGGCTGGGGACGGGGCTCGGGGGTTGAGCGCTCCTGAGTTCAATCCCCGGGTACCAAAAAAAAATAAATAAATAGGAATTTAAAGATGCAGATTCCAAACTTCTTGTGGACACCCTGAATCTGTATCCTAAAGAAACATGAAAAAGAACACACCTTTATCCTTGATGAAGAGGCGTACACAGAATTTACTGGTGTAAGCCCAGAACCACGGCGACATGTGTTTGCCATCACGCTGTGCTGCCTTCCTTGTAGAATGTGGTCTCTGTTTCTGATCCTCATCCCATTGTGTAGGTCTGCGTCTCCCTGTCCTTTCGATCATCTCTGTCAAAGGACTCGGTTTGCTGAGGGATGAGTAGGAGGCTTAGAAATTTGTCCGTTTTCTGAAAATCTGTACGGATTCCATTAAGTGGACGTTAAGCTGATGTTGGCAACGCAGGCTGAACGTGAATTAGGCACCCACTGGATATATGATATTTTGTAAATTAAACACCCCCCCCCCAGATAAGAGGCTGAGCTTTAGAGGAGTCCACAATGAATTTCCACGTCCACTTTGTGCCCACGCGACATCACATTTGGGTGTTAAGAGATTCCGTGCGCTTACCCATCACCTCCTCCGTGTCATGCCTTACCAGGTGGAATTGGAAGGGTGTCGGAGACGATTTTCAATGAGAACAATGTCAATAAAATGCAGGAACTATTTTATAGAAAGATCGCCCCCTTCCGTAGCCCTGTTCTGCACGCCCTCTCTCTCTGCTTTGGCAAATGCTTGATCCTCGATAGACGATCCCCAAGAGCTGGCGTCCGCATGGACATTAGCAAGAATGTCCCCACGGGAAGATTAGCCGATCTTCATTTACAATGTGATCATGACCTACTCGCTGGTGACATCAGGGTGCAGACATCTCKAGATATGACTTCCGTGAATGGTAAATGCCAGGCATCTCTTTAAAACGGAAATACAGCAAGGATTTAAAAGTTGGCGGGGACGCTAGGCCCACAGTGGTGCACATGCCCCGGAATCCCCGCACCCTGGGAGGCTGAGGCAGGAGATTCACAAGTTGGAGGCCAGCCTTGGCAAATTTAGGGAGGCCCTCAGCCACCTCCAGACACCCTGTCTCGAAATAAAGTGTAAAAAGGGCTGGGGATGTGGCTCCTCAGTGGTCAAGCGCCCCTGGGCTCGGTCCCCAGTACCAAAGAGAAAATCGTCCTAAGTTTGCTGAGCAGCAACCTTTCCACGCTGATTACTCTGTGTCACGATAATGCAATAGTAAAAAGCATGATTTAAAAAATAACGTCTGGGCAGCTTCTTCCAGATTGCACGGGAAAAGCAAAGGGAGAATTTGCAGGGTTGAAGTCAGGGCTCCGTGGCTGGGCAGGGGATCAGCCTGGGGGGAGACCTTTCCTTGGGGTGGGGGGGGGAGAGAAAGAAAGACAGAGGGAGGGAAAAACAGTGCTCTGCATGGCGTCTTCTCCCTCCCCTCCCAGCCTTGTTTGGAATCAGCCCTTGGACACCCTGGGCTCTGAGTCAGGGGAGCTTCCCGTGGGCCCCGGGGTGATAAGTGTATATATATATATATATATGCACATGGAGTCTGGTGTTTTGTTTGGGTTGGGGATTTTTTGGATAACCACAGATTCAACCCAGGGGTGCTTAACCCCCGAGCCCCGTCCCCAGCCCTATTTTGCATTTTATTGAGAGACAGAGTCTCACTGAGTTGCTTACGGCCTCCGTTTGGCGGAGGCTGGCTTTGAACAGGAGGCCATCCTCCTGCCTCAGCCTCCCGAGCCGCTGGGATGACAGGTGTGCACCACCCACCGCGCCTGGTCTCACCGGGGGCTTTGAACATGGGACAAAGATTGTGTGTCATGTCTCTCTGCCCCTGTAGTACGGAAGAGCTGTGTGGTTTTTCTGCACTATTAACCTTTTCAGTGTGAGGATTGTTCCCCGTTGAACCCTGGGAGGGCTGGGAGTCCTGAGTCCCATTATACAGGTGGGAAAAGCAGCYCCGGAGCATCTSSAGGTAGCGTTTTGCAAAGTCATTGATTGGCCCTTGGTGGCAGGCTGGGTCCCATCAGGCGATCTGCATATTCCAGGGCAGAGTCAGCTCCCCATCAGCAATTTGGAAACGGTGCCCGGAAGTTCCGATTGCAGATGAGTCCAGGTGACGGGGCAGCTCATGAATGCTGCATTTCTAAGTCCCGGGCGCCTGGATCCCACAGGCCGCGTGACTCATCAGTTCTGAGCAGCCCCGGCAGAGAGCCCGGGAAGTCTTGCTCAACCAAGGGATTTTTTTTTCAGTTGCAAAAGTCAAGAAGCTCACAGAAGAGACAGATGAACCCTGAGTGAGCATTGATTACCTTAGGGAATATTCACAAGAAAAAGAGGCTGCGTGTTACATCCCGGCCGTGTTTCAGATTTTATTGAGAGACAGGGTCTCCCTGAGTTGCTCCGGGCCTCCCTTCGGCGGAGGCTGGCTTKGAACTCACCATCCTCCTGCCTCAGCCTCCTGAGCTGCTGGGATGACAGGCCTAGGTCACCACACCCAGCTCCTAGATGTATTTTTGCACTCAGTGACTTGTGGATGCGCCTGACGTGCCTTTGTATCTACATATACRTAAACAGGAAAGTTAGGTCGGATGATCCGACTGTCTTTCCCTACCCCGTCCCTCTTCCCTTCTGTTCATGCCTCTTTATCTACGCCACTGATCTTTCTACTGTTCTCTCTTTTTCTAATCCCCCACCCCTTATGTTGGATAAACTTCCCCACATCAGASAGAACACTCAGCCTTTGGTTTTTTGGGGATTGGCTTATTGCACTTAGCGTGGTAGTCTCTAGTTCCATCCATTTATCAGCAAATGCCATCATTTCATTCTTCTTTATGGCTAAGTAATATTCCA